CCCGCCCTGCCCTTGCCCACTCCCGGGGAGGGGCCAGCCACAGCTTCTCTGGGCAACCTCTGCCACTGCCTCACCACCCCCATCATAAAACTTTTCTTCCTTATGCCAAAACTAAACCTACCCTCTGTCAGTTTAAAACTATCTCCTCTTGTCCTATGCATACAAGCCCTGGTAAGAAGTTTCCCTCCATCTTTCTCATAAGCCTCCTTTAGGTCCTGGAAGGCTGCTCTAAAGTCGCCCCAGGCTGAACAACCCCAACTCTCTCAGCCTGTCCTCACAGCAGAGGTGCTCCAGCCCTCGGATCATCTCCGTGGCCTCCTCTGGACTCGCTCCAACAGGTCCATGTCCTTGTGCTGAGGACCCCAGAGCTGAAGGCAGTACTGCAGGGGGGTCTCACCAGAGCAGAGCAGAATCCCCTCCCTCGACCTACTGGCTGCGCTGCTTGGGATGCAGCCCAGGACACGGTTGGCTTTCTGGGCTGTGAGCGCACATTGCTGGGTCATGGTGAGCTTCTCGTCAACCAACACCCCCAAGTCCTTCTCCTCAGGGCTGCTCCCAATCAATTCATCCGCAGTCTGTACTGATATTGGGTATTGCACCGACCCAGGTGCAGGACCTTGCACTTGGCCTTGTTGAACATTAGACATGATATTAATGTCTGTCCACAGAAAAAAAGTTGAGAGGTTGAAGGTCATTCTTTGCCCCTGTTCTTAACCAGCCAGACACAAGCCACGTCTAGCCCAGACATCATACACCTAGACTAACGTGGCCATGGGTTTGGGATATGAGGTCCTCTGGGGAAATCAAGGCTTGTTTCAGGGTTTATCAGCTCACAGGTCATACACCACCAGTCCAGGGACCAATGCAGACTGACAACTGGCTGTCATCTCAGAGCATGGGCAAAGGATTGTGTTTGTCTGCACCCACCAACATAGACATGCGTAACATTTCACAAGGAATCAGTATTTTTATGAGTAGGGGAAGATTATTCTTTGATGTGGGATGATTTCCCTCCAGACAAACCTCTCAATTCATTACTTACAAGTTGACAGAGTATTAAAATAAATTACAAACCAAATAGCTTTTATTTGTTTGGTTTGAATTTTCCAGGATTTAGGTAGGAAACTTCAAGATTCCTCTTGCTACAAATGACAGCAGTGAGCCAGAATACATGCACGTGTTTCAGAAGACAATCATCTATGTTCAGGAAAAAAAAAAATCAATTATGCTATTTTTGTCTTAGGCGACATTTCTTAAAAAGCTACTTTCATGCTCTGCATGACTCTGTTGTCAGCACGTTTAGCATCGAAGGGAGGCTGATTATGATTAGGTTTGCTATTCTTGTGGAACTGCTACCGGCCAGAAAAGCCATCACCAGGCATATTCATAAAAGGAGTTTTCTGTATGCATTGCCGTGATGTTTCTCTGACAAGACCCGATAGCTACCTATGCAAAAACATATTTTTTTCTTATAATCCCTATCTGTAAAACATGCTACCTTTTTAAGTTTTAAAATGTTTAAAATAGCTAGCCCCAGGAAAAAATTAAGAATACAAAATTGAGTTATGTTCCCAGAAGATGGCTAACGACTAAATGCTATTTCCTCTAACTAGCAAAGCAGAAAGAGCAAATAATAAAAATCTGATTGAATCCTGAACCTGCACCGAGGGGGACGGAGTGAGAAAAACACTCAGAGGGACGAGCCCAGCCTGCTTCTCCAGCAATTCTTCCACCCGTGAGCCGAAACCTGCGTGGGTCCCCTCGACCGAGCTGTAATCGTCATTCGCCAGCACAAAC